AGAGAGAGAGAGAGAGAGAGAGAGAGAGAGAGAGAGAGATGGATAAAACGATGGATAGCTAGATAGTTTGGGACTTGCCTTTTTATGGTCAGGGGACATACACCTTTGCCTATAGGAAAAGTGGGAGAGATTAACTGGACTATATAATATGATCATTCTGTTAAAAAATGGACGTGGGGAATTAAAAAAAACATGGGAAGACATGGAAAAACATGGGAAACATGGAGTGATACAGAGCAAAGAGGGCTAAATGAGGAGAAAAATATACACAAGGACAAATCAATAGTATAAGTGAAAACAAGGTGAAAGGACAGCTAAACCCAGATTAAAGACAGTAATGCTTCATATTTAGCATTGACTTCATATGAAAAATGATGAAACACACCTCCCTCCTCTCAATATCAATGGATACTCAATATTGTTTTTGAATCAAAAATAGTCCCTGTGTTGACTGTTTTTCCTTAACTAGATTTCTTTGAGAAAAGGGAGGGTTCAGGTGGGTGAGGGGAGATGTCTAGTATAAGAAACAAAAGGCAGAAAAACATTTAAAAAAGATAATAAAAATATGGGTTTGTCTATTATAATGGAATTTCAGGGACCAGAGAAGGTATCTTTTCCCTCCCTCCTTCACTTCCTATTGTCTGGCAAAATCTGCCATTCTGTGATGACCAAAAGGGCTTAAAGTACAAACACCACCTTTTTTTCTGATGTATTGATAGGTTATACTGATTTTTTTTCTCTTCTTTTTTTCTTTGTGGTTGGGATAGCTCTCAGAAAGGGTGAGAGGGAGAGATAGAGGAGAAAATTTAGGCAATATAAATACAAAAGGGATCAACAAAATTTATTTTTTAAAAATACAAATACCACTCAGACATAGCACATTACTTTTTATTCATGCTTTAAGGGCAAATGACTAATAATAGAGCATTTTCTGAAAGTCTATTTGTATTATGAAAGATGGGAGACAGAAGAGGGCCTAAGCCCTTGAAGAGGCAGGCAGTAGAGGTCTTAGAGAGGTCTCCATGGGGCTTCCCAAAATTACTTTTTACAGAAAAAAGACCAAAAAATAGGAAACTGGGGTTGCCAAATCCAAATTTCTCCTATTTCATTCTAACATCATCCTAGCTGAGTACTTTCAAATCTATGGTATATAAGAAGGAAGATTGAACTGCAAGGCAAAAGGCCTGTGTCCTTCAGTAACAGGAGACTGGTCCCTACATGCCGCTAAAGTTTGTGACTTTGAGGGAAGAGAAGAGAAAGGAAATACAATTTTATATACTGTCTACTGTGTGCCAAGCACTGTGCTAAGTGCTTTTTACAAATCTTTTCTCATTTGATCACATCCAGCAAGCCTTCTCCATCTCTAGGCCTCAGTTTCCTTACTATAAAAATGAGACTGCTGTCTCAGGTGGTTTCTAAGGTCTCTTCTAATCCTTATAATTCTGACATTTCATGATTTTGCTGAAGGCTAGGACTGTTAATGGCCTACCCAAGCAGTGAAATGGGACCCTGAACAGAATCCTCATGTCCCCATAACAGCTGTACACACGTGTGCGTGCACACACACACACACACACACACACACATTTTGCCATCTGATATTAGAAGGGAAAATGACAAGTTAAGGGGGGATGGAAAGGCAGAAAGTTCAGATTTCTCTGACCTCCTGCCTAGGACTCAATGCTTTAGAACTCAAGCCTCTCCCTTCCTCCCCTGCAGGTAGGCACATCTCCTTTATGGTCACATGACTGAATTTTTACAATCACTCAATACAATCCCCAGTCCCAGACTGGGTTTCTCTTAACAGCCCCTGCTTTATCTGAGTGGAGAGTATTGATGGGTCCAGGGAGCTAAGCCCCAAGCAGGAGCAGTTCAGGCAGAGCTGACTGTGACTAATGAGAATGAAAGGGGCAGCTGGTGGAGTGCGGGAGTGGTGCCAAAGAATAGTCCATTCAGGTGTGAGACGAGAGATATGAGAGTGGTGTGGGGGGTAACAGCTGTGAGGTGGAGGAAGGAGAGTAAAGGATTTGGGCAGGATGCTAGAGGCTGAGTATGCTGCAAGGTTTCAAAGGAAGTGGTTAGAGGCAGACAGCCAGGGAGCCAGGGAGGCAGGCAGCGAGCCAGCCACTCCTTGGAGTGAAGACCTGGGGATGGGGGCGAGGAGGAAGCTTTGGGATTGGGGAAGGAAGAGTACTGTTATTGGTCTTTTAACCCAGTTCTATGAGATGTTGGGGGAAAGGGAAAGAAGTTTGGTCCCAGTTCTGTGAGATGTTGGAGAAACGGGGAAGAAAGTAATTATTTCCCTTGAATCTAGAGAACAACTGAGAACAACTTCAGGGGCAGATGTGCTTCTTCTGGGGTTTGAGGAACAGTGAAGCATGGACAGTGAGAGAGCTTGGCTAGAATGGGGTTAAGGGTTAAGATGATTTAATAAAAAAAAAAAACAAACCTTTCTCCACAAGAAGAAATTTTGCATTCAGAGTAGATACCCTAGGTCAGAGAATAGAACTTTCTGTGTTAAAAGGTTTATGTGGAGTTTTAAGCTAAAATATAAATATAGGAATTTTCTTGTTTAATAAAGGAGAAGTCTATGAAAGTTGCTTTGAAATTCGAAAGCTATGTGGTATAGGGGAAGGCATAGTGGGCTTTGAGTCAAAGGATCTGTGTTTGAGTACCTTGCTCTATCATTTATTAACTGTGTGACCTTGGGCAATTCACTGAACTTCTCTATAAAATGAGAGAATTGAACTAAATGACCTCTAAGGTCCCCTTCATCTCTAAATCTATAATTCTATATATGTTAGGGGAATGTAAGAAGAGGTTAGCAGAACTGAAAACAACAATAAATTTAAATAAGTAAGTAAAATATCTCAGCTGCTGTTTTGTTTTCTTCAAAAATTAAACCATAAGCTAAATTAACCAAAAAGAAGAGAGAAAAACTAAATATTGTTTAAGCCATAAAGGAAATTAATCTTAATTAAGTCTTATAGTAAAGAGTATGGAATTAGTGATAAAGCAGTATGGTGATTCCCACGAGATGGAAAGATATCGGGCTCTTACAAGTGAGGGTGGGTCAGGAAAATGGGATTGGAATTAAGGGACAAAGATCTCCCATATCTAGGGGATGGGGTAGAGTAGAATTGGAGATCTTAGTGTATTAGCTGAAAGACCTTAGAATTATATATTCTACCCCTTTTCATCTTTTTCATTTCATGGATGGGGAAACTGAGGCCCAGTGAGAGGACTTGCTCATAGTACTGTTCATAGTCATATATATATATACATATATGTGTGTATAATATATGTATATACATATATATGCATGTGCATTCACACATATGTTTATTTATTTATAGTGGAAATACAGAGGCAAGAACTGTAACTACTCCTGAGGCCAAAGAGCAAAGTGTGGAAAAATAGGACTCTCCAGTGTATAAGTGAAGACCAACAGCTAGTTTCAATCAAAAGCAATGGAGTAGGTTTTTAAGAACCAAATAGCAAAGAATATTAAAGACTAATGGGGAGCAATAATAGAACCCAGACAGATCTATCGGATCATCTTAAACTTGAGTTGTCACTTGTAGTGACAGTGATAGCAATGGGTGCTTTAAACCTGAACTCAGCTAGCTGAACAGTGTAAAACTGTACTGTTGCTTTCAGCTGAATATAGCTGGTAGCATCTCTGCCACTGATAGACCTTAAGTATAATAGTGTAATGGATAGAGAGATGGTCTTCAATTCAAGAAGACCTGGGTTCATGTTCCAACTCTGACACATACTGGCTGTGTGACCCTAAACAAGTCACTTAACATCTGAGGCAATTCTCTAAGACTATAAATTGCAGAGAAGATGTCAACCTGCATGGGTACGGGGAATTTCCTATAAAAATGAAATCACATGTCTAGTCCCTAACCCTATATAGATGGTAGCCAAAATTGCCTTCCACTCTGGGAAAGTTTTATTGTTTGCACGGAATTAGTTATGCTAAAACAGAGTGGGGAGTAGAGGAAATACCAAAGGAAGTTGGAAAAGACCCAGGATGAAGCTTTTTATGGGGGGAAATTTCCTCCCCCCACAACCTCCTTCTCCTTTTTTTAATCCCTGGGTGTAGGCAGCTGAGAAAACTCTTGATCATCTAGAAAGGGAGTTCTTAACCTATTTTTTTTTCTTTTGGAAAGTCTGGTAAAGCCTCTGGGACTTCTGCTCAAGAGAAATATTTTTAAATGCATAACGTAAATTACATAGGATTGTAAAGGAAACCAATTATATATAAATACAGCTATCAAAATATTAAAAAACCCCAAGTTCACAACGTCAGTTAAGAACTCCCAATCTAGAGATTAGAAGAGGATCCCTTCCCTGTTGTCTCCATCATCAGATAGAGTTGGGATTCAATGAGGTTTGACCAATAATGGCTCTATAGGAGCATAGGGGTGAGCCTACCTATCCATAGTGCAGCTCCTTAGGATCTGGAACTTTCATCTAAGGTTAAGCATGGGTAGTATGGGAATGAAATTAGCCCAGACATAGACACATTATCTTTGTTGTTGTTATTATTTGGAACTCTTTCAACAAAGTGTTTTGGGTTCCCAGTATCCAGGGAGCATCAGTGTGTATTGTGGGAAGTTCTATGCTATTGCAGGGGTGGGAGGCAAAATTGCCAAAAGAGAAAAGGATCAGCCCCAGACTTGCTCCAGGAGGGACTGTAAGGGTGGGGGCATTGGGTAAAGGGTAGATGAAGCCCAGAGAAGTTGACTTGCCTGAGGTTATGTAGCTAATAAGGGATTTGAACCCTAGCCCACAGATTCCAAATTTAACACTTTCTATTGTGCCCCAGGAGCTTGAGTGGGATTCCATTATATCCAAAACTTCTTCCCTACTCTGAGTTTCAGTTGGTACACTAATTCTTTTCCTCTTCCTCTCCACCCCTAGTCCCATCTCAGAATACCTCTTACCCTTTAGCTGGAAGCCACCCATAAGGTCTCACCGGTGAGTCCTGGAGCAGGCCCCAAGATCAGAGATAACCTGGAACTGTCTGGCTGAGATTTAGTGGAGAGAGGATTCCCTACCTCCACAGTGAACACACACACACACACACACACACACACACACACACACACACACTCACACACACTGCTCCAAGCAGGCTGATTCCAGACAGTTCAGTGTGTCGATTTTTATCAGTGGGATAAGGGTTAAAGAGAAGTGATCAGAGACAAAATGTGAGAGACAAGAAGGAATACTACATATGAGAATGTATGTGTCTGTTTCAATACATGTGAGACAGATAGAGACTGACATATACAGAGTCGGGAGAAGGGGAGAGGTGTAGTGAGAAACAGACCCATTGAAAAAGTACAGCACATAGATAAACAGAGATTGAGAAACAGACAAACAGGGAAACACAGAGAATTAGACCAAGGCAGAGAAACAGAAATAAACAGATA